CTAAAACCCCTAAAACCCTATAAACCCCCGAAACTAAACCCCTATAAGCCCCTCCAAACCCTCAAGCCGATCACTCCCTAAAACCCTCAAACCTAAACCCTAAACCCTAAACTCCTAAAACCCTAAAACCCTAAACCCTAAACCCCAAACCCTAAACCCTTTTACGAAGACCCGGTCCTGCAATCGGCCGTCTCCACAGCTCGGGCATCCGCCACGAACCCCAGGAACCAGCATCCGATCCTTACTTGGAGGATCATGGGACTTAGTAAGTTTAGGGTTTAGGGTTTAGGGGTTTAGGGGTTTAGGGGTTTAGGGTTTAGGGTTTAGGGAGTAAGGATATAAGTCCCTTAATCGGGGTTATAAGTATAGTTCCCTTAATTATAACCCTACTTACTAAGCCCCATGAACCAGCATCCGATCCTTCGGAGCTCATCGCCCTAGCCCACAAAAGCCTAAAGGTTAAACTATAGTAGGATTATATGAGCCCACAAAAGCCTAAAGGTTAGGGTTCAGGGTTTAGGGTTGAGGGTTTAGGGTTTAGGGTTAAACTATAGTAGGATTCTATGAGCCCCAAAAGCCCAACAAAGCTGAACAGTTATGAATCTAGTAGGTTTCTATACGTCCCAAAAGGTTATAAAGGCTGCGCCTACTCAGCCTCTAAGGATCCCGGGCAGCACAAAGGTGGCCAGAGTCCACCGCAGCGGAAGGCAAGCCTGGGTTCTTGTTATAACGGTTAAGGAATTTAGTCTATGTCACCATAATAGGGGTCTATAGTAAATAATAGGTTTTGCTTTTGTTTTAAATGGTTAAGGAATTGAATTTAAGTTACCATAATCGGGGTCTATAGTAAACAATACGGTTTGTTTCTTTTTTAAATGGTAACTTGAAGTAAGTCCTTTTTAAATGGTAACTTGAAGTAAGTCCTCTAAGAAAGAGCCCAGAAGCCAGCAGAGCCAGCAGCCAGGAGATGGCCAGCCCGCAGTAGCCGCAACTCCGTGCAAGCCCTGTTGCCTCGCAGCTCTGGTGGGGTTTAGGGTTTTTTTGGTTAGGGTTTAGGGTTTAAGGTTTAGGGTTTAGGGTTTTTGGTTAGGGTTTAGGGTTTAAGGTTTAGGGTTTAGGGTTTTTGGTTAGGGTTTAGGGTTTAAGGTTTAGGGTTTAGGGTTCTTTTGGTTAGGGTTTAGGGTTTAAGGGTTTAGGGTTTGGGGTTTTTGGTTGGGGTTTAGGGTTTAGGGGCTTCTTACACCACCACCATCACCAATAGCACCAGAATCATCACTTTCCTCTTCCTACTTGCCCAGTACCCTGGCGAACTAAAGGTTAACCTTTGGGAGAACATCGGATAAAAAAGGGATTGGAGTACCCCAAAACAAGGCTAAAGGCTACCTACTCTACTAGGTCTTCATCGTCTTCCTGCTGATGCTCAACCTCGCCCCGATCGCAGATGTGGAAGTCGGAGGCACCGCAAACGGCACAGCAGCGGCAGTAGCAGGGGCAAAGTTTTGGCAAAGTCTTGTTGCAGAAGTACTAGTGAGGTCGCAAATAAACGAAACAGTGCTGAAGATCTGCTTCCCTGAAGACCAATAGCCGCAGTCATAAAACCATCTAGTCGTCATGAGTAGTCTGAATATCCGTGTCTGCAGACGCCTTCTCTTGCTCAACGGCCCAGAGGTAGATGGCACCCGCACTCACCAACGCGCTTGGCATTTGAAGGCCCAGTGCCCACCAGCTCATCCGGTCAAAGCTGGGAAGGGTGGCGAGCCACATCCAAACCAACACAGGCTTTACGAGAACAGCAGAATTCGGTACTTTGTGTACCTGAAATGTCATCCACAGCCCGAGTAGGATGGCGGGGATTCCTTGCAGAAGATGGTGCAGTTGCCGGCTGCAAAGGTAAAGAAGCCAGAAAGCCAACACGCAGCCGAAGAGCAAGGGCAGCGCCCTCTCCGATGCCTGAGCTTGCTTTGCTGAGGAACTACGGTTTAGGGTTTAGGGTTTAGGGCCTTACCAGTTAGAATAGGACTGTGAGTCTAATGTAATAAGGAATCCCCGAAGGAGCATTGGTAATATTTAGGTCCCTACAGCACAGAAACGACAAAGCTGAGCTCCTGAAGACCAGAGACTGGCTCCGCATGAAGCGGCACCTCAACCGGCACAGCTGTGGCCACGGAGCCAGGCAGAATTGTGTTCACCGAGCCAGGCAGAATTGTGTTGGCAGAGCCTGGGGATAGTACTGAACATGTAGCTTTCTACTACTGGTTGAATTTAAGCTGTTTAGGGTTTAGGGTTCAGGGCCTAAACCCTAAACCGTGTACTCATAAAAAAACACATTGCTACCCAACTATGACAAAGGAACTGGGAGGCAGAATCGTGACCACGGAGTCCGCGGCCGCGGTAGTGTCTAAGCCTGGCGAGCTGGCCAGTTCCAAAAGGCCTAACACCCCTCAGTCGAAGACTAGACACTGCAATCAGACGAAGCATACCACCTGCACCCTAAACCCTACACCATAAACCCTAAACCCTACACCATAAACCCTAAACCCTACACCCCAAAGCGTAGTCCCCCACAATTCCACGGGCTTCTTCAGAAAAGGCCAGGTCTGGGATGTGCAAAACGCTTCTTATGCAGGCAGCTGCTCAACCCTTGCAGTACAGAATAAAGCAAACAAGTAGTATATATATATATATATACACATATATATATATATGTATGTATATATATATATATAGAAATGGCCCATAGAAACAAAGAAATGTACGAGCCCCAGAAGTTTAACTGGCTAGGTAGGTCTTTTTTGATATCCACAAGCACTGCCACCACCGCAAATACTTCGACGATGGCTTTGGGAATATCATACTATGATAATATGGTGACCATAGCTATACGATACTTACATGAAGACGACAAGGGAATAATATTGGGTAGTTCTCTAAATTAGGGCCATTTTAGGGTTCTTTTTATAAGGGTTCCGTACTATATTTGGGACCCAAAAAGGAACCCTAATTTAGAGAACTACCCCATTGCACATTCTGAGGTGCAGTCCTTCTCTCCGCAGCAAAGCCTTCAGCCGCAATGCCGCCTCCGAAGCCTGTGGACCATCTTCCTGTGGAAATACTAGAACCTATAGCGAAATGTAATATATACATATATATATATATGTATATAGAGTATGAGATAGTGTATAATGAAATCTATGCCATGCTATAGTATGTGCACGTATATGTATATGTAGATACACATCTATATACATATATATATATATAGTTTCTTATACTACGGGATATGCATATATATATATATAGACATACGATATAAGATACTGTAATCTAGTATATAGCATACTGTGGATCTGAAATTGCCTGCGACAGCAGTTTGTAGGACATCGGGTTTCCAGGCGTCAGGCAAAGGCGGAATCGCCTGGCGGACATATTCGAGCACAGATGTGGGAGTTGTTGAAGGGATTCTTCAAAGCTCCTACATGTTACCCCTAAGTCCCTTATGAAGCCCTTGTCCTTATGACGCCCTTATAGAACCCTTACTTGGCTGACTTCTGAACCCCTCCTAAAATTCAAACTGTTTTCTCCCTTATTATCGTTCATATAGAAACCCCAAAAGTTAAAGTCCTCAGAGCCAACCAGAAGAACACCATTGCTTATATACCCTAAACCCCCAACCCTTAAAGAGCCCTTACGGAAACCCTAAACCCTAAACCCTAGACCTTAAAGAGCCCTTACGGAAATCCTAAACCCTAAAACCCCAACCCTTAAAGAGCCCTTACGGAAACCCTAAACCCTAAACCCTAGACCCCAAAGAGCCCTTACGGAAACCCTAAACCCTAGACCTGAAAGACCCCTTACGGAAACCCTAAACCCTAAACCCTAGACCCTAAAGTGCCCTTACGGAAACCCTAAACCCTAAACCCCCAACCCTTAAGGAGCCCTTACGGAAGCCCTAAACCCTAAACCCTAGACCTTAAAGAGCCCTTACGAAAATCCTAACCCTAAACCCTAGACCTTAAAGAGCCCTTACGGAAGCCCTAAACCCTAAACCCTAGACCTTAAAGAGCCCTTACGGAAATCCTAAACCCTAAACCCTAGACCTGAAAGAGCCCTAAAGAGCCCTTACGGAAACCCTAAGCGGAGGGCCGAAGCAGCGGCCTGAGCTTACAGAGTTTGGGGTGCGGGATACATCGAACCCGTGAGCGGCAAGCAGATTCTGGGCTTTAGGTTTAGGGTTTAGGGGTTTTGGGTGTATGGTTTGGTTTTGGGGTTTAGAGTTTTGGGTTTAGGGTTGAAGGTTTTGGGTTTTAGGGCTTAGGGTTTTAGGGTTTAGGGTTTTGGGTTGAGGGTTTTGGGTTTTAGGGTTTAGGGTTTAGGGTTTTGGGTTGAGGGTTTTGGGTTTTGGGTTTAGGGTTTTGGGTTTAGGGGTTTAGGTTTAGGGTTTCGGGTTTTGGGTTTTGGGTTGCGGGTTTCGGGTTTAATGTTTAGGGTTCAGGGTTTTGGGTTTAGGCTTGAGAGTTAAGGGTTGAGGGTTTCGGGTTTTGGGTTTCGGGTTGAGGGTTTCGGGCTTTTGGGCTTAGGGCTGGTTCATCCAACCCGGTAGGTCCATCATCTGATCCAACCCCAAGACCCGAGGCACCATGCCGCAACATCGGAACTGTAAAACTCGCACTGCTTTGCTGCTGTGCTGCTGACCTGACTGTAAGCTTTCAGCAAGGAGTACACTGGAAGGGTAGACGGAAGCAAACTACTCGGTAGCGGGTAAGTAAACAAGCACAAGCATAAGCAAATAACTAAGTCAAGCAGCAAGTCAGTTCTGTAAGTAACTACGCCATCTCGTCAGTGAGTGAGCGCGCAAGACTCACTGACCGTCTCAGTTCCATATGTAGAGTTAAGGTTCGGGGTGCAACTCTTGAGGTTCTTAATAGGCTATAACATTCAATCACGGTTTAGGAGTCAACTATCATGAGAACCCTCAGGAATAAGCAAGACTAAGTATTCCATGCCGAGATTAAGTTCCCACAGCGCGCCCGAAACTGCATATCTTGACAGACGAAACTCAACCCCGCACTCTTGACCCTAGACTCTGAACCCTGACTCTAAAGCCTGAAACCCTATTGCCCTGAAACCTGTGCCCTCAACTCCAACTCCTGAACGACACAAATACCTAGGGGTTTAGGGTTTAGGCCAGTGGAGCCTCGACCTTTGAACAAAGCCATAGATAAGACTCCTTGTAGAACACCTCGAAAAAACACGTATCGAACCCTTCTACAACCGATACAGAACCGTCTAGAATCCTGCAGGAACCTTGCGGAAATGCTCTGAAACCAATTTCGGACCGTGCTTACAGGATCATAGGGCTTAGTAAGGACTTACAACCTCAATGACGGTACTTCTTACCGTACTTACTGAGTCCCACAACCCTAAACCCAACAACCTCACTGAAGGTACTTATCACCTTACTTACTTCGTCCATGATCCCCAAGTAGCCTGCTCCGGCAGTGCACGGTTTTGCATGGGGTTGCGCGGCTCCTTCGGGCCGAGATGCTACCCGCGACCTGGTCCTGGTTGGTTTGGGGTTTAGGGTTTAGGGTCCTGGTTTGGGAAGCCTCAAAAAGTGGGATCAAGGCAGGCGAGATATTCCCAACTCAGAGTCCTTTTAAAAGGGATCCTGAATCCTACTTTCCTTCATCCCACCTTTGGAGGCCTCCGATGGTTGCTTTGGGGTTGCGGGTTTTGGCGGGCTTAGCGGAGCAAGGGAGCTGTTTCGAAGCTCCATGTAGAGCTACTAGTATCGGGACTTCCGGGGTAGGGTTGACGTAGGATTCAAGATATGGGCTTCTTATAGGGTTTAACTTAGTGGGGGTCTGCGGGTGGCTTTTCGGGCTTATGAGGCTAATGGCTTTGTCTGCTTCTTGAAAGTGGGGAAGGGCTCCCCCGAAGACAGCTACTGTGGAAGAGGAGAGGCTCGAACGAATGAGAACCACAGCGATGCTCAAGATTCAGGGCCTCACCTGAAACTCAGCGTCAGTTTGCAGAATGCATAAGTTAGTATACGTGGGTTCTGGGCTTACGGCGAACTCAGTGTGCATGGCTCGTTTGTGTATGCCGTGCGGCTACTTCTTTTCGTTCAAGGGTTATCTACGTGCATTCGTCGTTGGAGCAAACAGTACGCATACCATAAACCGTAGATGTGCAAGTCCAGACTAGACGTGGCCTGAGCCTGAACGGACAGACTATTCATGGGCCTGGCCTTGCTGAACCAGAGCATTGCAACTGAATGATTGCAAGAACACGCCGTACACCCTCCGAGACCATCGTAGATGGTGCAGTAGCACCCGCCTGTTTTTGCCAACAAGAATAGACCCTAAACTCGAACATTCACCAGTTTTGGGAAACTCGCAGACACCCACCCCGCAGGTCATCGCGTGAGACACTCCGAAGGGTTGGGTTGAAGCTCACCTGCACCTCGAGTCTTTGCTTGCGTTGTCTAATGCTTAGGGTTTTAGGATCTTGGGGATTCGGTGTAGGAGTGGTGTAGGCGACACCTGCTCCCAACCCATGCAGGCAATGTCAAGAACTCGGCGTGATGGAACACTGTCTTGAAGCACAGTCCCGTTCCAGCCTTGCTGGTATTGACAGTTGTGATTGCACAACGGAGCCCTGCATGGCATGGTTGGCAAGAATGAAAAATGCATCAATGCCTTGACTGGGTTGTAGTTCTGGGGCCCTGAAAACTATTTCTGAATAGGTACCTCTACAGGAACCATAAGGGAAGTTTTAAAGTTTTCCAAAGTGCCACCTAGTTGACTTTGACAGCGAAGATTGTCGCACTAGCATCCCTACCACGACCGTCACCGGCACAATCATCAGCAGCTCTTTTACTGCATATCGTGTGCAGTGCCAGTGCCATTTACTAGTAAGTAGGTAATAAGTAGACTTATAAGTGCCCTAAAAGGGACCCTAATTGGGGTTATGGTACTTATAAGTCTATAAAATAACCACTTACTAAGTCCCCCGACCCTCCAAGTAGGAAGCCCACATCTACTCCTGGGCTACTGCATCAAAAGAGTACTTGGCCTTGAATTTCAACAACTGTGGGCTCCAGACTCAAGACGGTCCAGGCATCACCAGTGCGCAACCAGTACTGGGTTTAGGCTTTAGGGTTTAGGGGGTTTAGGGGGTTTAGGGTTTAGGGTTACCAGGATGAACATCATAATGGCACACGTTGCATCCTCCTCTTCCCATCTTCTTCACCACCATTACCACCAGCATCATGACCATCATCATTGCCATCTTGGGATGCACCATCATGATGGTCGCCACTGTGATAATTATTGATCACGAACACCATCGACACTTGGAATGCCTATTCACGCCTTCATTTTCACGTCGTGTCGTCCTCGTCCTCCACTTCGTTGTCCTTCTCCTTGTCTTCGTCGTCATGTCGGAAACCAATTTCACCTTTTCGAAAACCTCGAACCTAAGAAACCAATACTTCGCGCAGGAACGACATATTCCAAGACAGTCGGGCCACCACGGCTCCCCCCATCCTTTCATGTGAGCCCCGTTGGTTTTTACGATTTCGGATTTCGGGGTTTTGCCTTAGGCGGCTTCAACGTTGCAGTCCTGATTGCTTCTAGCCGCTGGTCTTTTGCTGATGATAACAAGTGCCCCCCCCCCCCGTCGTGGCCACTCCGGCATAAGGGTTACTGCAAGGAGGGTTCCGTAAGGGAGCTACACGGGAGACCTACTGTTGATGATATGAATCCTGCATTACTTTAAGGGCTCTAAACTACGGGAAGTATGGTCTATACCTTACTATGGGTAATGCTACAAGCTTAGCTCAGCTTGAGGAGTTTCTCCCGCACATTCGGGCTTCGGGTTTCAGGAATGTGGGCTCGGGTATCACTGCTTCGGGCTTCGGGCCTAAAATATGCCATGAGCTCGGCCGCCCTCTGAAGCATCGAGCTTTTGGTGAACAAGGCAGGTCACTGCCGGAAAGCAAAGGGGGCTCACATGACATCAGTTCGCGCTTTGCGACGGGTTCGTTAACTCGCTAACAGCTAGCATCAAGGTCCATTCCAACTCGTCGTCCCGCATGCCAGGCGTATCATAACGTTATGCAGCCTGTCGAGTTGTGGCCAATGCCAAGTTGCGTGTCCACATACCCTAAACCCTAAAATCTTAAAACCCTGACGCCCGAAAGCCTAAAACCGCTTAGGGTTTCCTAAACCCTTAAGCCCTGAAGCCTAAGAACATTTAGGGTTTCCTAAACCTCAAACCTTGATGCGTCCCAGGGCTTTCATTGCCGAGTCATCGGCACCTACGCTGAGCGACTCAGGGGCTCATCTTGCTTTCGAAAGCTGTTCTTAAACGCTACT